GGGCCGTCACAAGGAAGAGCAAAAATCTCTAAGCAATAGAATAATGCACGCACAAGATCACGTTAGTGATGATTGATGTGAGAAAACGAATCAAATAAGAAAGGTAATGAGATCGGACAATATAAGGAAGGCGGGATCTGGAAAATGAGATTTCAGTAGTTAATAAAATTGTCCCTACGAGAAGAACTGGTGAGACCTGAGAAAGGAGCAAAAACTTATGTCTGAAATAGGGCATTAGAGCATGCTAAACACAAAGTCTGAACCCTTGATCACCGACAGACTTCAAAAAGTTGAGCCAGAAGAAAAGTTTATCTCTAAAAGACTTTTTTCAAAACAGAAAGTTTCATATCTAAAGAATAGGTTTGACTAAAGTGAGATAGCGAAGCTAAGAAAGAAGAGATCTAATGGCTATCAAAAGATTAAAGTGAACCTAGGTCGACTAAGCTGAAATTCATCATGGCTCATCAATATGAACGATCCTGAACAAAAATGAATGAGAAGAAAATTGTTTTGAGATAAGCTGTTCCGATGGTGGTATCGCGCATTTTCAATTATCTGACTAGGAAACCAATATCGATTTAGAAGAAAAACATCATTGAGAGAAAGATGTCGGATATAATTGAATTGTTCTCAACAGGAGAATTCTATTAGCAGCGAAGAATCATTCCAATTTGTCACTACCACAAATGTAAACACAGAAAAAAACATAAAGTCTAATGACGGACATTTTGAGGGTGCATGCACTCACTAAAGACTTCACTTAACTAGCGAGAGTTCTTTAGTGTTAGCTTGTGGAAAGTGGAAATTGTAGCGAAATGGTCAGACCCATCGTTATTGATTCAATCCCGCACCCTAGGCTATTCAGACCTTCTAACACGCGTTATCAGCCGGTATTAGTAAGTTAACACCATGCTGAGGGGTTTGGCTGCAAACTTTTATAATTACTTACTGATGCTTGTTAAAAGTATAAGAAATACGTGAGTAAGGATATCATTATAGCTAAGAGAATGAAAGTAAAGAAGAAGAAAACGCGGAAAAGGTGCCTTTCTGTTATCTTCACCCTGTCTCAGCGCCCTTCAAAAACAGAGTTTCTTGCTTTCTTCAACTTAGTAGGCATTCGATAGCATGCATGTCAAAATTCCAAAGGTTAATATAGTTTTCGAAGAGAATTTAATGTGCCGTAGTACTTTTTTATTTTATTACACCTCATTACAGTGCCTTTTTCATGTTAATTCTAGTAGTTCTAGCATTGAATCGTTTTTTTCGTCTTCTTCTTAAGCGTCGTAAAATAATGGTTGAGCGCATGCTTTCGGGATCTCGAGGATAGTTGGCTATGGCTCTCCATAAGGCGTTTGTTGTTAACTCCGGAGAGTGTTGGGGAGTGTGGTTCATCCGATGTGCGCCTCGACAAGCATCACAACCGTTCGACCACCGTGCCCTGTGTCATAGCACTAGAAATTGTAATAACGTTTCACATTTGAGCATTTTTCGCCGTACAGAGAATTTGCTTTATACTTTGAGCAATCATTTTATAGCTTAAGTTTCAATGACTTAGATAATGTACTTAGTGTTTCAAAAGAATTCTAAATTACGATCTAGAAGCCAGAAGAAAATTATGTTCCGCACTCGTCGCGCACTCTTTGCTCCGATGTGTGGATGGTATTCACAATTGGCACCAAGCCACTGCGCTTTTGCAACGTAATCGTTATTTGATAGTATAGATATGGATAAACCTAAAGCTAAGTGTGCAGAAACGATTCTTTTCTGTTAAACGACCCGGGGTAAAGAAACGACTCTTTTAGTTGCACAAGAATTTTCCGTAAGAGTGTTAGCAGCCTTCTGAAGTCTTAAATCTCAGTCCACTGTGCTACGTACTTCCTTGTTAAGAGACCTTAATGTAACGCTGTAGCATTCAAAAAAAACTTGTACTTTGCACCGCCGCTGCTTTCTTTCACTTTGCTGGAAGCACGAAAAGCTTTCAGTTTATAGAGGTAATCTTGTATCATCAGAGCCATACGCTTTGTCCGAAATTTCATTCACAGTGGAAAAACTTTCCAACCGAATAACAAAACTCGCATTTCACGTGTGACGTGCCAACTCTTTCAATCAATCGATGGCGGAGCGATGTATTGTCTCTACGGTCGGCAGACACCCAAACCGCACATTAGCCGATAAGCAAGCGCACGGAATATGTGAAACGCGATCTTCTTTTCCCTGCTACAGTGCAGTGAAACGGCCATTTCAAAGAATGAGCACAGCATTGAAACGGTCGAAAATTACGCTACCGAATGGTTACTAAGAATTCGAATGAGAAGTTCCACCCTGCGAGCAATATGCGCATGTAAAAAACAAATGCTTTTTTGGCAAAGCGCTATAAAAAGACTTTTGAAAAACGGCCAGGTACGGCGCTCGCCAGATATTTGGGTTTTCAAATGATTATTAAAAATGCAATGGCAAGTCATCGTCCAACGGGAGTAGTCGTTTCTCCATCCAGTACCGTCCAATGTTAAAGAACCCAGAAACTTTGTATTATTCCTCTGTAAGTCGATGATTTTCGTTTTCATTTCAAATTGCCAAATAAACTTGCTCACAGACCCAAAAACCTAAGCATCCTAAGCTTATGCAGCCTAAGCTTATACACGAAAGACATATGAACGTGAGAGGGAATCTTAGAGTATCAAAGCCATTTTTTTTTCAGGAATGTTTTCAGCGGAGATCAGGCACCATATGTGGACCACGCTGCGCGATAAGTGCGCCGAGTTTCCGCCGACCCAATCTTCTTTTGGCTCCTACGGCCTCACAGCGCATTAAAGGATTCTTTTTCATGTGGAGATTCTTCAGCACACACAACGACCTCGATTGACTTAATCGTATCAGTTGCCTATATTGAAAAATTCTACTTTGTGATAAATTTTAGACGATGTGTCTCCGCATCTACTGCGCTCATTCCACTACTTTTCGCAATCTATTAGTCTACTCGCATCGGTCATCCACGAAAGTGGTCCAATTCTTCTGCGTGTGGATTTAGCAGAAACTTGAAGAAACTTTCCGTATTTCTTACAACAACCGTTCAGTGTTGGGCTTCCCCGAAGACCTGATATTAATGGCCTCAAGCGTTATCATGTAAATTAAAGGGAAATATTTTGCAAGGACAAGTCTGGAATTAATTCTTAGCTCAGATGGGTCATAGGGGTAAAAGCTTAGAGTAACTTTGAACCAGTACCGTCTTTCTGATGTTGGGAGTCAATGGAGCTTTGTTACACGCCCCTACAGGTGATAATGTTAGAAAATCAAAACGCAAGAATGATGAAGGTATTGAAAAAAAAACTCATAATTTTTAGTTTAGCTCGAAAGTCTCAGTCACCTTGACCAAAAAAATGATAAACATTAAACAAAAGTTATAACACAGTGGGTAAGATATTTCAAGGATGGATTTTTTGAAAAATAGATTCTAGGCCGTTCACGTAATAAGCAATAATCTCAGAGCTGCCAAAGTGGGATGCATCAAAGACGTCTATGAGGGACGCCAGAAAGAGTTGTAGCTCTTAATTGCATGCAATATTTAAAAAAGAACAGTTACTTTTTCAAACAAAGATTATGAAGATTAGAATGGACCTGACATGAGCGGAACGGCCAACATTCATTAAGCTCTCAATTATTATATCTCATTTTAAAAACAAGAATGCTGAATTATGAGTAAAATTCGGAATCTCAGCTGAACTTCGAATCCGTGATCACCTTTTCGAAGTGCAAATGTCTATCCACTACACCAATCGAGACCCTTACTTTGCTTTTCTTTCAGCCATGTTTCCTCGCTAGATGTTATCAACAACCAGCCGTCATCGGGGAGTAATCTGGGGGAGCAGAAATCGGCACTGAACCTAATTAAAGTGAAGCCAAGAGAAAGACAAAACAAAGACCTCGGTTGGTGCAGTGAATATCACGCGAGTCGTTGCAATGGGTAATTGTGTTTTCAAAGAGAACTTAGAGTTTCGAGTTCTGCTCGTACCTCACCTGCCTTGTGATGTTTATATCATCCCCGTCCATTAAAAAAGAGATTTAGCAAGGCGGCACAATTATTTACTGCCACCTTTCAAAACTGCTTGCCATCGGAATGGAATTATGTGGAAGTAAAATTGTGAGCCGTGACTTGGGTATTTTTCATTTTGCTGATGACATAGTGACCAAACGTTAGCGAAGCAAAACGAATGACGCTTGTGGGAAGATTGGTCTCCGACTAATGGTTTTTCTCTCACTCACGTTTAAGAAATGTTATTTCAAATGTTACAGCTACGTTAGTTCGGTTGAAAAGTCAATATGACACGCAACTTAGCTCCACAGTTGAACAGTACGGAAGTAGAAATTTAAGGAGCGTTTGAAAGCATCGAGGATCTAGTGAAGAGAACAAGGAACACCCGACACCCTGACCAATTTATCGGCTCAACATTTCTTTTTGCCTCAACCTATATTCCAGAACCCCAAGTCGCTGTAAGAGATCACATCGCACTAATGAATGCGCAGTCGAAAAGTCAGTGCTGAGTATCTTATATCACGCAAACAAGAACAAGCATCCTAAGTTTCGTACTATGCCAGCTGAAAAAACGAACTGTAGTGCACGCTGAATTATAAAGAACTTTTGGTCGGATACGAAAAGCGTTTTAGCAAAAACCTATAGACGAGAGCCGTTATCGATAGAATTTCCCAAGAAATTAAACACAGAAGAAAAACACTATTGACCCGCTGGTCTAATACCTTCCTAGAAAACCTAGAAGAACAAAGTGGTGCTTACAAATTTCGTCAGCAATGTAGCCCACTGAATCACTTCGGAACGTGTCAGGAAAAGTGGAAGGCTAGCTGGCGTCTACTTGAGTCACTCGATGATCGGTGGTGAGCCAGGTGATGCAGAAGTTTACTCGCAAGGAAAAAAGAACAGCTATTAAGTGAATAGTTAAGATGTTTTATATAATCCTAAGAGAATTGAGTGGTGAGCAAAACAACACGACCTCAGGCGGGAATCGAACCCACGTTTCATCCTATCCGGGGACGCGTGCTCTCTACCACTACACCACTGAGGCACATTTGCCCGACCACTCATTCTTCATCATCTCAATGTTAGCTGTCAGCCAGCAACCTTTGAGAGGTTTGGTCGGGTATGCGATTTCGCTTTATAAACCCACTTGAGCTGACAGCTACTTTTAATTACTAATACTTGAAATTGGTAGTAGTTTTAATGCTTTTTAGCATTAAAAATACTACCAATTTTGAATAGTTAAGCATATCCAGTTTTATGCAAAGCCTTGTTGAGCACTAGAAAAAACCACTGAGATGTGCAGATTTCTACATAAGAGGCGATAGCTCTCTTATTTCACTACGGATGAAATTTATTGAGAAAAATATCTAAAAGCTTATTGAGTTGGACCCACTGGTGCTACCAAAAAAAATCCTTTCCGTAACTCGTGTGCATTCGGAACAAATTTTAAGAAGTTCAATCAGTTTTCCTTTAAGAAACTGTGATTAATCGTATATAAATGTTAATATGAAGAAATAATGTCCAAAATTGCTTGAAAAATTGAATGACACTGATTCTAATGGAATAGTAGGTTCCTGAAATCATTGTATAGGGAAAAGTAGCGTTCAAATACCTATACAATACTGCGAACGAAGTCCAATGCGTGATGCACTCTGGTATCACTCAAATACCGAACGCTTTATCTTCAAATTTCAACGAATATACAAATGGCGACTCAACGTAATATAGTCAACAATCCTCTGCCAATAATCGAAAAAGCGAGGCTATAGATTGAAAAGAAATTGTAAATGGTAAGGGAAAAAATTGTTGAAGGTTAAAGTTTGCGAAGGGTCTTAGTAACCTATCTGTAACATTTGCCATTAGCTAAGGTAATTCTATGATGTGGGATGTAACAAGGACATTTCGTACCTGGAGGCGATGACTGTATGAGAAAATTATGAGACGAGCGGATCTAGTTCTGATACTGCTTAGTGAATTCTCACTAGGACAATTGGACGGAGGAAAATTCATATTCATCTTTGGGGGTCCGGGATATCATCATCAAAGCTGGAAGAAATTTTTCTAGAAGTGTTCTCACTTGAAGGAAAATCTCTAACACCACCTGCTTTTAGTCCTACAAAAATGTACTTTTTATCGTTTGGAAGAATGAGTTCCCTACTTAGATAATTTAATCCATGAAAAAGCTTTATAGATCAACAATTTTCTAATGAGACATCACAGATTCACAATCTCCTCATTTCTGCGAGGCTAGCAAATTCACATAAAATGCTAAACTGGACAAAAATGCTGACATAACACATTTGCATGCTAAAAAGAGTCAAATATGCATCTGCTATGTTACAGATGGAGTGGATTGCATGGTGCATCCCTGGAGAGTTATCTATACTCTATCTTTTATTCTTGATTCTTATATAGAGGACTATTTATTTGAATAGACTTTTTTTGTAGAAACACTCTTACAATCTCTATAAATGCGAGGACGATTCGAATCTTGAAAGAACTACGACTCGAACACTGAATTTGACAACGAGTTATGCTGTGTAAATTAATCGCGAAAAGCTTTACTATCGACCACATACCAGAAACTTTCAAGAATCTTATAAATCATTAGATATTAGGAATCTCATAAATTTGGTTGAGGCCGTTCAATCGTTCTCCAGCACAATTTGTAGAAATAATTGTAGTGAGACAAGGAGTGACAAACTACTGCTCCGTTCTCTCTCTTTTCCACCTTCTTACTATTATCAATCAACTACTTGAAAGTGTTCTTCATTTCTCCAAAGCGCCTGTCTCACTTCAGGAGGGCACAAATTGAGTGTAAATGATGTTTCTACAAGTCACAATTTAAAATCTAATCATTTGTTTCATAGTGACGACAACAAATGTTAGTGGGTGAAGTCTTGCACTGAACCTATGAGTGGTTCTACTTCAAGATCATAGACCAGCGCTGTTTGTCAGTGATACGCAATGCACAACGAGTCGATCCCTGAGGCAATTGTGGCCAAGAGGTATTGACGGTCGTCATGAATAACGTCAAGTATACGAATCAAATCAAATTATGCTTTCCACTCTACTGCACAAGCGCTATGTTGCTCTCGGATTCAAAATAATACAACATAGTAGTTTCAAAAAGTCACACGTGTTAACCCCAATCCTGCTAATCAACAAATGCCTCAGCTTCATAACAAAAGAACATCTCACCTAATGCTATTCCCTTGCCACAGCAATTGCACAAATTCTCATTGTTCAAAAAGATAAAGTGCTTCAAGTTTCTCCAGGAGATCTTTTGTTTTCTACAATTTTGATAAAGACTAGTGGCGAATAGCCTGTCGGTGCACAGACCTTGACTAAATAATCTGGTCTCTGGCATAATGAGTTCCCGCGACCAAAATCAGAGCTAACAGGTTTGAGCCTCATTTTTTGAATCTTCTTCCGCTTTCCGAAACTACATAGTTTCTTATTCTTTTTCTGGCAATATGTGAGCGCACGAAGTGTCTTGCGACTAATTCGTATGAGATCAAATAAATCGCAAAATTTTGGGAAATCATGAAAATTTCAGAAGTGCTCAGTACCCGAGTAAACTGAAAATCTGTCATAGATTTTGATAATGGGAAAACAAAATATAAGAAGGCTCTTTGGTTGAGTACTAGAGGGAGAAGAAAACTCATTAGTGACGTCGTATCTAAGCGATTGGCGCCTAAACTAAGAAGCTTATGTCTCATCGTTAAACAGCGTTCAGTCAATGACGTTCGACTAAATTTTATTGAAAAAATGCTGAGATGTGCTTCTACAGAGTTGGTTGATTTGGTCACTGTAAAATATTTGTCTTGTGGTTAAAAATGTAATAATAGACGGGCGAATGTCACTCTCCAATAAGTACAAAGATTTTACGTAGTAGAATAACACAGTCTGTGTCATAAAGAAATTCCAACTATAGCAAAATTCGTTCTCAATATTCCACGAATATTAGGTTAAAAGTGAAATTAATCTATTTTGCTCCATATGGGCGCTGCCATCGACAGCGCTTTGAAGTGAGCCTTCTCGTGGCTCAATACTCTTCAATTTTCTCCGTTTTTTAAGAATCAAACAATAAATTGACTGTCTCAAGATGCTCAGTAGGCCTCACCTTTTTCAGGTCGCACGAGTGAAATAGACCAAAGCGCACACAAATAGAGATCGACAACTCCAATCGCACTCTTTCTTCAAATGGTCTTGAACGAGTCAAAGAAATACTTTTCGATTTCAGCATGCCTCATGCTTTCCAGGACTAACCATCTGATAGGTTGTAGGAAAAGTTCTGTCTCAAAATACATAAAAAAATTATTTATACACCAAGCCGGTTGCCGGGGGAGCCGTGGCCAAATGGGCGTGATGCTCGTCGCAGCGCGCACTGAGCCATGCTCCAAAACTCCCCTCCCGCCTTCACCCAACTCTCTCCGGCAGTCGACAACAATGTCCTATGGAACACCACAGCCAGGCTATCCTCGACAATGCAAGATGACTCGCTCAACCCGTGCTCTACGACGACCAAGAAAAGGACGAAAGAACGAACTGATTGAAAAATTGATATTGTAATTCAAATGCTTGCAATACGGGAAATTCTCATGGTAGGGTATTATCACACTGACAAAAATCTGAGCTGTTATTAGCTCAAATCGCACGCCGCGTGTGCGGCGGCGCGGCGTGGTGGGAGTTTTTGTTGTCACATCTTGCAGTGAAAATATAGGAATTTGTTTGATGATCTGAGGCACTGAGGGGATATTATCGTGATCAATTGATGAAAGTTAGTATAAGAGACTTCTATGAGAAGTTTTATAATCAAGAGAATGCCCATGTAACGTAAAATCATCTATGTTTCAACGGGAAAGGCACACTGTTAGGAAACGGAACATATTTCCAGCTGCTATCGAATCTCGCTTCTTTCTTCTTCATCGATGTTTTTGTAATTATTCGATAGCTTGAGAAGTGCTTACTCTTCCACTAAGTTTGCTTTGTGAAATGAATTTTCGCACATTCTGCAGATAACGTTTGGCAAATAGAGCACACGTTCTTGTTTCTTGTGGTTTTTCCTCAAAATCCGAGATTTTAGGAGAAAGCATCGTCATTGTTTCTGCTACAGATAGCTTGATCGACGTCTCTTTTTTCATATTTTACCATTCACTGGCGACGATATTCCCTCTAGTGCCGATAAAATCCACATTTCATTAGAAAACTACCATAACGCCATTACAGCCAAAGGATTTCAACGTCGTTATGAACATGTTAAGTCGTGCTCTACCAAACTTTTCTATATTACTCGTTCGTCAAAAAAAGCGCTTCAATGGAACAACATGGGCTAGCGCGAATTCGAAAATAACAGGCGGGTGAGACTGAGTTGGCAGTTGAATGTGCAAGTAGCGGACTTATCTGAGAAAAGAGTGCTTCTGGCAGATTGTGTTTTTTTCCGATGGATCAATTATGTGGATGCTTTTTATAACTTCGTGCGCTGCGCAACAAATTTTCATGGGAGTGTTGGTAATCATTCGAAAGCTTAGACTTGTGGCTGCAGCTCCATTTCGCTGGTTTCCGAAAAGAGCCTTTTATAACGCTGTTAAATCCATAAGAAACTGTATCTCAAACGCGCATATTTCTCGCCAGATAGAGCTCTTTCTTCGGACTATTAGTAACCATTCGATAGCGTATCGTTACTGATTCAAGTGTTCTGGTTGTTCTATAAAAATACCGTTTCTTTGTAACGCAGCACGTAAAATAGGTAGAAATCACGTACGCGAGCAAAGGGGGCATTGGCCAATTTATGTGCCGCCGGCTAAGGCGGCACATGCGCTAACGCGACTATCATCGATTTTCAAGCTCATGAACGAGTAGAGAAGTGCCGCCCACCGGCACGTGAATTGGCTAAAGATCCCTTAGATTGCGTAATTGGGTTCAACTTATTTTCCCTCTTCATTGCACAGAAACGGTCTTTTCGAGATATAAGCACAAGGTTAAAATTAGAAACGATTAAACTATCAAATGATCACAAATAGTCCAAAAAGAGCTCTGTCC